CACAGGAGATCCGACAGTCTCTTTCAATTAAGTCAGTGTAAGAGAGGCCAATTCACCCCAGCAGCTGTATTGCATGTTAATATGACATTGATCCCAGTCAAAGACGATACAATCCAAACATAAGAGTGTGGTTGTTTTACACGGAGATGGATCATTTTTGCGAGGAATGAAGAAAAAAAAGGCGTGGTTAAATCAAGGTTTCATGGACACTTAACACTTGGTATTGTACAGCAAGGTACTTACAAGAATACCAAGGTACATGTCCAAAAAAAGAAAAAGAAAACATGGTTTTACCTTAGTACCAGTGTTATAGTATAAATGAGATTCTATTATAGTTTTTATTCATGTTTTTATTTTTATATTTTCATTTTAAGTAAAGTTTTAGTCATTTTGTTTTGTGTTTTTGTCAGTTTTTTTTATGGTTTTAGTTCAGAAAAAAAAAAAAACACATTAGTCCCTTGGTACATGTAAAAATACCATGCTAGTACCATGGTACCATGTCTAAAAAACATGAACTTATACCACGTGGTTACCATGATTCATTGGAATTGTTCATGGTAATACTATGTTTGTGTGAGACGTACTAGGTTTCATAGAGATTGTAATACTATATTTTGTGACATTTACCATGGTATTAACATAGCTTCATGGACATTTGCCATGGTAATATCATGGTTTCATGAGCATTTACGTGGTAATACCTTGTTTTGTGATGTTTACCATGGGATTACTATGGTTTTATGGACATTTGCCTTGGTAACACCATGTTTTTTTGACATTTACAATGCTATTAACATGGTTTCATGGACATTTGCCATGGTCACACCATATCTTTGTGACATTTACCATTGAAATATTGTGGTTTCATTAACATTTGCCATGGTCATACCATGTATTTGTGACATTTACCATGGTAATATCATGGTTTCATGAGCATTTACCACGGTAATACCATGTTTTGTGATGTTTACCATGGCATTACTGTGGTTTCATGGGCATTTTGCCATGGTAACAATTTCTCACAAAAGTGTGTACACCCCTCAGATTTCAGCAAACATTTTAGTACATCTTCTCAAGGAGCAATACTATAGAAATTAAACTTGGATAAATTGGATAGATAGACAAAGTGTCAATATTTTGTGTGAGCACCATTGTTATCTAGCACTGCCTCAATCCTCCTAGGCATGGGATTTACCAGAGCTGCACAGGTTGTTGCTGGGATCCTCTTCCAGTCCTCCATAATGACATCACGGAGCTGCTGGATGTTAGACACACATTGCTTTTCCACCTTCCGCTTGAGGACGCCCCACAGGTGCTCAATAGGGTTCAGGTCTGGAGACATACTTGGCCACTCCATCACCTTCACCTTCCTCAGCAAGGCAGTTGTCATCTTGGCGGTGTGTTTGGGGTCGTTATCATGCTGTTCGGCCCAGTTTCTGAAGGGAGCGCATCATGATCTGCTTCAGAATGTCACAGTGCATGTTGGAATCCATGTTTCCCTCAATGAAGCTCCCCAGTACCAGCAGCACCCATGCAGCCCCAGACCATGATGCTTCCACCACCATGCTTGACTGTAGGCAAGACACAATGTTCTTGGTACTCCTCACCAGTGCGTCGCCACACAAGCTGGACCCCATCTGAGCCACACAAGTTTATCTTAGTCTCATCAGACCACAGGACATGGTTCCAGTAATTCATGCTCTTGGAGAGGTTGCTTTCAGCAAACTGTTTACAGGCTTTCTTGTGAGCCAGCTTCAGAAGAGGCTTCCTTCTGGGACGACGAACATGCAAACCGACTTGTTGCAGTGTGTGGCGTATGGTCTGAGCACTGACAAGCTGGCCTTCCACTTCTGCAACCTCTAAAGCAATGCTAGCCGCACTCACGCGTCTTTTTTGAAGCCAGCTTCTGCACCTGACGCACAGCACGAGGACTCAACTTTGATTGACTCTTGCGAGGCCTGTTCCGAGTGGAACCCGTCTTGGAAAACCTCTGTATGACCCTGGCCTGTACTGTAACTCCGTTTCAGGTTGTTACCAATCTTCTTATAGCCTAGGACAACTTTGTGGAGAGCAACAATTCTAATTCTCAAATACTTAGAGAGTTCTTTGCCATGAGGTGCCATGTTGAACATCCAGTGGTCAGTATAAGAGAATTGTACTAAAAGCACAAATTTTAACTGCTCTAATACAAGATACACAAATTTGTATGGTCCTGTCAAGCAGACAAACACATGAACATGATGAATAGGACATGTGGCTTAGCATGGTTAAACGACGCACAGCTATTATCACTTAGGGTGTACTCCCTTTTGATGCCAGCTATTTTGACAATAATGGCTGTATGTTGAGTTATTTTCAGAGGACAGTAAATATATACTGCTATACAAGCAGCACTACTCTAAAATATATCCAAGTTTCATTTCTATAGTATTGTCCCTTGAAAGATATACTAAAATGTTTGCTGAAATGTGAGGGGTGTACTCACTTTCGTGAGATACTGTACCATGTTTTTAACACATACAATATACCATGGTAATAATATGCTTTGGACATATTAGAAGTAAAAAGTAAATACTATTTACATGCAATATATAAATACTATTATATATGCCTATCAAAGTACCATAATATTGACATCTGATGCTATAACTGTACCATGGTAGACCCTCAGTACTTTTTGGTAAGCATTGGCATTCATACCAAAGGAAAAAAATCAACTATGTAGTAGCATAAACGTTTAATTCTATAATATAAACAGTTGCAGTCCTGCAGTCCTGTGAATTTCAGGATTGCAAATACAATGGGTGATGATAAAACAAACATGCAGTGCGAGATGGATGATCCGTGATGGAAAACGTGTATTGCATTGTGTGTCTTGACAAAACAATTGACAAACCGTCCTGTCTGTCTGACTTAATATTTGAAGTAGCAAGTGAGTACATCTGCATGTAATGCCACACATGGATAACCTCAGCCTCGTCGAGGAGGAGTGTGGCTTGACAGCTCTGGAGCTTTAATTGGACGAGGCTTTTATGGGACTGGATGGCGGCTTGTAAAAGATGGAACCGTATTAAATCTATATGTGATGCCATTGGGAGCGTCTTGCTGTTCCAGCCCCTCAGGTAATAAAGCTTGTGTTTTAACTTTGCATGAGAGCGCAAACGGTTGGCCATTCAACGGTCAGTCAATTAGCCACGAAACTAATAATGTGCTTCGAAATCGTCTGGCCAGTTAGCTGCAAGCTACTCATATGTTGCCAAACTACGCGCTTTACCGGGAATGACAAATGATATCGTCCGGTGTCGTGGTGTACAGTGTAAATTGGTACAGCAGTGCTGTTGACAAAAGAGGAATGAGCTTTGTTAAAGCTGAGCATAATTCACTGGGTGGCATGTTTTCCGAAGAGATTGGAAAAGTGCAATACTGCTGCATAAGCAAATGCTGTAAGGTGGCCATTATCCAATAAGATCTCATTGTTTGTTTAGATTATATGATAACGGGGTGTTGGGAATGACAATCAGAGCAGTCGTGTGTCCTGATTATCAAAGCTTTCCGAGGACGGCTAAAACGGACAATCTGCAATTCTGACGCGAGTGCCATTTAGGAAAACTCAGCATTGGTGTTTTTGAAAGGTTAAGTGTGACATGAGATGGGATTTGCTTAAAATCAGAGCAAGAAATGTTAGAAAGGTTATGTAGTTTAACATTTTTTTTTTTTTCTAAAATAGTTTATAACTAGGCTTGATGAAGGCTATTCACACTTCAGCTAAGTTTAACGTAAAAGGTTGCACGGAAAACTGAAGACATTTGTGAAATTGTGTAGTTCAGTCAATCCAAAAGTAATACTTCACAAGTATGTTTACATATGCAGTTATCATCAAGTTTTTTATTGAACAAAATCTCAGGGTATTCACACTTCTGCAAATTTTCCCCAAAGTATCAGTACAAAAAACTGAACATTGTGTTGTCTTAACACAATAAAAACCATGTAAAAGACCGCAAGTTCACGTTTACATGCGCAGTTCTGTCCTTCCAAAAGTTATACGTACTGACTTCTAAATAAACTAAAAACAAACAGAACACGACTACGTTTAAATGCGTAGTTACACTGAAACTACAGCAGGTTTTTAAGTAGTCTAACAGTCGTCCAAGGATACATGACAAAATGCACAGTTGGATATTTGATAGATTAACTTTTTCCCCGCCATTGATAGAAATTTCCATTATTTATGAGACAACGCTTCCCCGCCATTGAAATAAATTTCCAGCTTTCTGTGTTTTTACTTTTATACGGTAGGGGGGGCTATTACACAACTTCTGAAAGAGTACTGAATCTCCTAATCAAAACACAGGTGAAGAAGAAGCAGAAACAAGCGATATCATGTGTAAGCAGATACTTATGTAAAATAACGTGATCATCAACATTAAACGGCATATAAATCAAAACTGCCTGTTACCGAATGAAATGTTGACCCAAGGCGAGCTATAGGACTGTGAAGCATTAGGGGTGTTTATGGACTCGATCTACTCCATCTATGTTTTGATCATCGTTCTGAATCCGATCTGGACGTAGTATATGACAAAAGACTTTTTTTTAATTAAACTTACACGCATTGAAGTGTTGATAAAAAAAAGAATGCATGAAGCTAGAATAAAACGGGTTATTTTGTTTAAAAGCAGAGGGTCTGTCCTTTCTTTCATTTTTGTGAAAATGATCATAAATGCTGGCACAAAAAAAAATGCTGGCGGGGAAAGAGTTAAAAATCTCTTTATTTTTTAGAGCTGGCGCACAACGCGGGGCATGTACACGTGCTGGGCGAAGCCGAGCTACAATTGCATTATATAGGTGCACTAAAATAATTTTTGGTCGCTCTACAGATAAATTATTGCTTTAGTCCAGCGTATGTAATCTTATGAACTGACTGTGTTTCGGTCCAGTTAACATAATGCTGTAAGAACGACCCCATCCCAGAAGAGAGGAAATTAAGCGCTTTTGCTCACCCAGTGTCTGATGAAACTCACCCGACACCGGGGTCATGGGAGTGGGCGGCAGACTGTTGATATTGAGCGCCCCCATCTGGTGGATCTGGGTGGTGGGAAAGGCCACGCTGGGCGCCAGGTAGCCTCCGTGACTGGCAGCCATGAGGGCCGCCTGCTGTTGCATCAGCTGCCGGATAGAAGAAACACAAAAGCAGAAAGAGAAAAAGAGAGAGAGAAAAGTTACTAGAAGCACACAGGCTACATGGGGGCATGATGGATAGGCAGTGCTTCGCAGAGTAGAGGAGAAAGTAGAGCGGAAAAAGAGAAAAATGTGTCAACCTATGTTTAGTGAAAGCGTCCATCTTCCCAGTCAGAGGGCTGTCAGAAGCCCCCTTGAAACATTTCAATAGCTGTCGGTCTGGCTCGTTCTAATAGAGGGATCGACGCACATATTATTGTAGTCCTTAAGGGACCTGGGAGTTCGGAGTAGGCAAATTGAATTGTATTCATTTTTTCCCTTTCAAACTTTAAGGTAATGCTTTCTTCATGGCCTTGACAGCAAAACTTCTTCCCCCCGCATTTTCCTTTATGATGTGACAGCTATCAAGGCTGAATATATCACAGTTACATTGAAGCAGATATTCTTAGATCCAAACCTCATGCATAAATTCTAGTTTTCATGCATCGTACACGAGAAACGTGTTTGTATGTCTCGTCACACACTATTTAATTAGTTGGGAATGAAAATGAGGCTGTACTTACAATACTTCTGAAAAACGTAGTAGACACCAAACTATTCCCATCCAGAAAAAGAATACTACAACTAATCAAACAGCATTCCTGTACATCACAACATTTACTCCCTGAAGAGGCCAAATGTAAGATGCAACCTCATACAATAATCATCAAACTTCCACTCTTCATTTGAATGCTGAGGATGATATTGTTCATGTCGGCACATAGTGCTTTGTTCTCTGCCGGTGTTTTATCCCTAGATAGTAGAAAAGCATTCATTTTCTCTCATCGGCCTCGTCACTGAGCCTGAAAGATGCCGTCCACCCACAAAACAAATCTATAAGCCTCAACTGCACTATTATCTATAAACTCCTCCTTTCATTTGCATAATTCCATCAACAAACTGTTGAGGATCATCGGTAATAATATAAGGTAAAGGTAAAAATTCAGCACAAATATGCTAAATAAACTAAAAAGCTTGGCATTCGTACAATGGGAACATTTTAATTCAGAGGTATTCACATTTTTTTTTTTTTAAATAACCATATTTTTTGCAGTCATAGGTTAGACCCATATTAAATACACAGCTTAAATAAATAAATTACAAAAAATATTTCAGAGAATCTATCTTTAACACAAGTGCATTTTGTCTTCCTACACGGCATATTTTTTCACTTGTTTTAAATAAATTAAAAATGGTGCAGTAAAAATACTTATTTTCAAGATATAGTCTATAAAAACTATAATACATTTATAATATGTATGAAAACAGTATAATCTTAGATTAATGTAATATTAAACCAAATTATCGTATATCGTAAGATTTTTGTAATAAAATATCCCAAAATCACTTGTGTGATATATTTGCAGTTGTGTACTTACAATATCCCAAAAGTTCCCAAAGATTTTTAATTTAAGAGAAATTCCAATTTAAAATAATGGCTCGTCCCTGGTCATTGTCGCCTGTCAATGATGTAATATCCGCGTCATCCCTGGTTTCCGCTCGTACTGCCATAGTAACCATGGCGACAGACGTGGACAACTGCGTTACGTCTAGCGGCACGCTCACGCTGTTGTTGTTTCGATTCAAACATTATGGACCATGGCAAGCAGACTTTGGGACAAAAGGAGAACTAAAACGAGGATCAACAATAGCGTGGCGTTTTCGAGATGCCGAGAGCTCCACGTCCGCGACTTCGACTTGACAGAGATGCCGCTCTTGCATGTACTTTATTAGAAAGGTGAGCAAATGTACATAAAACTAATCAATGTTATATAGTTCAACATGATGAAATGTTAGAATATGATCTGTATGTTATTCTAATGTTGATCTAGCTTACTGCTAGTCTCATACAGCCAACAAACTAACACATAGAGTAACGTTATAACTTTCAACGCACTCAAATGCCGTTTAGTGTGATAGTGTAACGTTAGACCAAGGGAAAGAGGGCTGCGTTACCTCACAAGTTTAATTCGTCAAATAAACTGACCTGTGTGAGTAGTAATTCGGCACTTGCGGGTAGTTCTGTAGAATGAAATGTCCTTATTCCTTTATATCCGCAGGACTCGCGTGTGGCGCTGATATCTGTCTCTCATTAGCAATCGTGCCCTGCTTCATACCACAGTCATGTTAAAAACATCAATGTATTCACTCATCCATAAACATTATTAGATCCATCAGCTTGACGACAAGTTCCATAATTCCGCTTAAAGTGGAGCGGCTAAGTGATATAATCGTTCAGTTTATGATACAAGCGTGAAAATTGGCATGAGCAGTCTCCATGGGTCACTTGACAAGAAAATTGTCCGAGCCAATTGAAATTTCAAGATGGTCGACATTTTTCAAGATGGCCGACACCTTAGTGGAGCAGTTGGTTTATTTGGTGATACAAGCATGAAAATTGGCACGAGCAGCCTCTGATGGTCACTAGACAATAAGCCACCCACAGCTACTTGAAATTTCAAGATGGTGGCCATTTTTCAAGATGGCCACCACCTTAGTGGAGCTATTAGGCTTAAGAAATCATTTAGTTGGTGATACAAGCATGAAAATTGCTATGAGCTGTCTCAAAGGGTTATTTGACAAGAAACCGCCCACAGCAACATAAAATTTCAAGATGGCGGCAATTTTTCAGGATTACTGCCGCCTGCCATGTGGATCTTTAAATGATACATGTTCTCATAGAAATCTATTGGGTTCCTCAAGAGACTCTGTCAAGAGAGTTAGTTTGACTGTGTTTTGTCTGACTCCTGACCCATGACCTGTCCAGTTTGGTAAAGCCTGGAGTTGCCTCCCACCGGCATAGCTCTCAGGGTTCATTGAGGTACACAAGCTCCCTTACCACGACAAGGTTACAGTCACAAGGGAGGTTGTTTTTTTTAAAACTAACAGTTATTAAACATGTCAAATTAACACGGAGAGGTGGGGAAACAAAAATAAGATTAATAAATTAGCACAGTTGTGGTGCTGAACAGACAGTGCACCAAACAAAAAATTGAGCAATGACTAATACTGAATGTCAATAAGAACAGATCCAGAGGCAACAGCGACTCTGGCTGACACAGCCATGGAACCATGACAAACAGAAAGTATCTATGAGAAAATGTATCATTTAAAGATCCACATGGCGGGCGGCAGTAATCCTGAAAAATTGCCGCCATCTTGAAATTTTAAGTTGAAATTTCAATTGGCTCGGACAATTTTCTTGTCAAGTGACCCATGGAGACTGCTCGTGCCAATTTTCACGCTTGTATCATAAACTGAACGATTCTGCCAAACATAAGCACTTAGCCGCTCCACTATTATGCGTCATCAACCTACGCCTTTGTTATTGTAAGGGATTAGCGACCCCTAGCGGCGAAAAAAATGACATTGTAGCTTTAAGGATTTTTTCAAATATATTCTTACAAAAAAATATAAAGATTATGTTGTAATATTTAGTTGTTATTCTTAAGAACGCATTTCGCCGCCTGAAGTGTGTGGCTAAATTGTTACGTAAGGGAGTTTGCAAGAATTTTGGAAGTTAAAAATGCGTCACGGACCACCGGTTTAATGCATTTGTCAACCTTCAAGACAGTCTTGTCTCTCTCCGCCATGTAATAGCCATGCCACAGTAATCAGACGCCTTTTTGCCCATCTCACGGCCTTCCTTCCTGCTTGAATGGGGAGTCAGAGTTAAGCTGGCTGGCTCTAGCCGGGTGACAGTTTACTAATGCCCTTTAAAAGCCAGAGGGACAGGCTTTGGGCAGAGCATAGTGCGGTGAGTTGAAGACTTCCATATTGTAATTTCCCTCCATGAACGGCTCGGATAATGTCGCCTTTCATGGCTGCCACCAGATTGCCTCAGATAACGATGTGGCATTCAGTTCTGCTCTTTAGGAATTAAAACAGAAAATTGGAGGCCCAAGCATGTAATTATGTTGGGGAGAAGTGAGCAACATCAATTTGTTCTTGGAGGAGGTGGAGGGGAGAGGAGGGGAAAAAAAGAAAAGAAAAACAAGGCCCTTCGGCTGTCGGCGGCCGAATGAGACTATTAAAAAAGCATCTCTTGTGTTATCTCTGTTATTTTCATTTAAAGGCGTAGTTCAGACACAATTTTACATTTTGTCATTATTCACTCACCTGTCATTCTAAACCCTTTATTTCATGCGTAGAATATAAAAGAAGTTTAGCAGAATGCTAGCTGATCCATTCAATACAATGAAATTTAATGATGACCAAAACTTTGAATGTTTAGCGCAAGAATGTATGATCTAATTTTATGGTGATTTTATGGCGTCTTTGTGAAAATATTCCACACAACTAAAGAAAATGGCGACCAAGATTTTCAGTGTTTAAAAATTGAATTACATGTTCAAAATTTACTAACATAAAGGTGTTATACGACTTTCTAAGACTTGGAATATAGTGCAAGAGTGGTATGACCTACTTTTCCTGTCATTTTATGGGGATTTTGTGTATACAATGAACATATTCCATACAAGGAAAGTGAATGATGACCAAGGTTTTTTTATGTATACACTGAATTTCATTTATTAAATGTATTAACATGAAGGTGTTGTACAACTTTTGAAAACTTCTAAGGAATTTGATGGTGTTTTTTTGTGTAGTTTTATGTCTTGACAGCCATGGTCTCCACATGCTACTAAGAAAAACTGCGTAAAATAAAATCACACAAGTTTGGAACGACATGAAGGTGAAATAATAATTATAAATAATTACATAATTACAAATAATTATAACAATTCAACTGGGTGAACCATCCCTGAACATTTCAGAACCAAAACATTACCCAGCATCCTGAATAGAAAGGAAGCATTCAAGTGCAAGCAAAAGGCACCAAATTGCCTTCAGCGAAGTCTTCATCACTGAGGTCGTAACCTTTTCTTCCTTCAAAATGGGGAAAAAAACAGAAGCGGCCACGGGAAGAGGTTGTCCGGGCCATGGCGTTCGTTTAGTGTCAGGCATGTGGGTTTTTTTATGGCTTGCCGGTGGCATTAGTCTCCCTCGGAGCCACCAGGCAATCACCTCTTTATCACTTGGCAATTATCTACCCAGAGCTGCTCTGTGTCTCTGCCCACCTCTGCCTGCATCACACATGACCCCTTACAGTCGGTCTGGCCCTGCTGCAGCGCAGGGAGAATGGCGGGATGACTGGAGAGATATTTATAGAGAGACGAGAAATGGAGTGAGCTGAATGCGAGGACCCTGGTTATTAAGGTCCCTGGCCCTGTAAGATTGCCTGAAAACGGCTTCGCTCCTTTTTCTGCTGTTTGGTGAGGCACATCTTCAGGACTAAACTCAGAGATGGTGCCAATTAGTTTTGGTTGTACCAGAGCTTGTTGTTGAAAAAAAAAATCTCTCACATTTTAAGAGAATATATAATTACTATAAAAATCACACTACCGTTCAAACGTTTGGAATCATTAATATTTTTTTACGTTTCTAAAATAAGTCCTTTATGCTCACCAAAGCTGCATTTAAAAAAAATAAAAATACAGTAAAAACTGTAATATTTGAAATATTACTACAATTTACAATTACTACAAATTACTACAACGTTTTCTATTTTAAATCTTAATTTATTCCTGTGAATGTTCAGCATCATAACTTCAGTGTCACATGATTCTCCAGAAATCATTCTAATATGTGGATTTGGTGCTAAAGAATCTTACTATTATCATTGTTGAAAACACACTATTTGTGCTGTTTTAAAATTTACGTTTAGTCAAATCGAAATCTTTTTGAAGTTGAATTGAAGTTGTATTAAGTGACAACTTGGATAGTTGAGTTGACTAAACTTAAAATGTTAAGGCAGCATGAACACTTACTTTTTTAAAGCTGCAGTCCGTAACTTTTGGCAGTCTTGCGGTTAATAAACAGAACTGTGTCTTGCGGAAGAACATTGTAGCCGGAGCTACTTCTCTCTGTTTATGTCTATGACGAGTCACACAGGTACTGGGCTACTCCTCAACGGTGGCGACCCGACCGGTCTAAAATAGTCAGAATATAAACACTTATAATAGGTGTACCGTATTTGAGAAGCACAAATAATTAATAAATATGGTACGTAGTTTTGCACTAATGTCCACTGCAGCGCCCCCTGTGGCAATGCTGAGAATGCAACATGTATTTGTTTTGTGCTATGAATTGCGTTGCATGAATTCTAAAAGCATATCTTGCCTATCTAAAAGCATTTACACACACACACACACACGTGTAGAATATGTTTAGGGCCTGAGTGCGCTTCCATTTAGATATTTTTGCCTTGTACATTTTGCACAAAAAATGTGTTTATGTACAGTACATAGTCCTATTTCTGCAAAGAGTCCATTTACAACTAAAAAGACATTTCAGGTGAAGCATACAAAGTTCTGCTGAGAAACGAGGGGTGAGATTCTATATATCTAAATAACACATCAATCATTTTGCCTTTTCTAGATTGTCCATAAGAATTCTTTTCCCAAACGATGCATTAAAACTACAATGGTATTTAGAACAGATGGATAAGAAAGAAACAAACACTTTTAACGCTCTTCGAATATTAAACAGTTATATTTCCCAACAACAGGGGGCAATGTAAGTCAATAGCAGAGCATGTGCCCCCCTCCTCAGTGCCCTCCTCCCCAAAATACCCAGACAAACATTTCCCTTATTAATGTTGGCTTCAGAACATTCTGAAGTGCTTTCAAGCAATTTGTGCGTCATATTAATCTAATGCACCGTCTCTGGTGATTGGCGTCAAGTAAAAGAGATCTTTCTGGCTTTCCATCAACAGCCGCGCTTTTATTCATCTTCCAAAAAAAAGCGAGAAAAAAAAAGCCGAAAATGAAGATGGCTCTGCTTAGAAAAAGGAAAAAGATCAAACATGAGGCAGCGGGAGAAAAAGACAGATAAAAGATGTTCGGCTTGTATTGACAAGAGCTTCTGAAAGAAAATTAATGTTTCTCGCTTTCATGGCGTGTTTATGTCACTCCCCCCCCATTCCACTCCAGAGATGAGGACGCATCTGATATTTTCAACATCTTCATGTAATACTGAATGATAAGCTGTTTGTCAGATTTAGGAGTTAGATGTACCTTTTTAAAAAAACGCATCTGTCTTTTGCCACGATGTTGTCAGCACTATTACCCCTCCAATTTGCGCTCAGATGCCCCCTCCTCTGCTCTGACTAAAATCCAATTTACTGGCTGTCAGCTCAACCCAGTAATCCTCTGCACAGCTGTGTTTGTGGAAGGAGCCTCTTAATTTGCTCGTCCTCCACGTTTCTAAATGTACCATTGCCATATCTGAAGCTAAACGTTAGCTTATGCTGTTTGGCGCAACGAATGCCTGTCGGAAACCCTTTCAGGCTCTGCTCAGGTGAGAAAATGAGTGAACAGTAGAACATGGAAAATGCTACTGGAGTTAGCGACATCCTAACTTGCTGCTACAATGCTAGCATGTCTGCGGCGCACTGCTAATGCACTCGTTTAGGTGTTTGAAATGTTTTTAGTTCATTGCTAGGTAGTTGCTATGGTGTTTTGTGTGTTTTCTGGTTGGTTACTTACTAGCCCAAGTCGAAATAGCCACAAAAAAGTGATATTTTGGCCACGATTTGAAAATTCTATTCAGAGTTTAGAAATATCATGAATGCATCTGGTCGCGGGAAATATGCGCTACCGTACCAGCCCTATATTAATGTTAAGGTTGAAGGGTAGGGTTAGGGGTAATACTTGTTTCAGTGTTGTTTAAGCAATTAGCACTGTGATTGACATGACCAATGAAAACTTTAGAATAGGCTGTGAGCCGGGTTTGCACTGGTTTAAGTTGCCTCTTAAATGCAGAATTTTTAGACTGTTTTATCATCTGCCAGACGAAAATTGTAAAGTAATTGCTTATAAAAGTTAAAGCTAACATCTACTGAACAAGCTGCACAATCTGAGGTAGGTTGTCATTTATATCAAATAACACACTAACATTTATTACATAGCATTTGCATTTGTTCAGAGTAACAAGAAAAGAATGGTTTCAGACACCACTACAAATGCCTATCCACTCAAATAGTGCCCTATTTAAGGGCGATTTTGGACACAGCCTACGTGTATATAAAGTCTTCTTTTCTGGCTATGTTGACAATGTCGTCCATGCCTTATACACACCACCTAGTGGTGTGTGGAAACAGCATTACACAAAATCATAAGTTGTCGTGTTGTTTTTGTTAACTAAAACTAAAGTCATCATCTCAGGCGATGTGCATATAACATTTTTAAAAAGTATATTTCATCACATGTAAAACTTGGAAATAAGGGGGAAAAAAATAGTGAGTGCCTTATTTCTATGTATCTGGTTTAAAATAATGCGCTTGTTTTAGACAAGTCAAAAACAGAAATGATAACAAGCAAAGAAGACGACCCACATAAAAAAGTCGCAAACTTTGCCACAAGCTGAATGCGATATCATAAGGCAGTCGGTTTCGACAAGTGTGGGTTGTGGCTTGGGCTGGAGCAGTGAATTAAAGAGAAAGTGTCATTGCCACCGCGCAGCACACTGCACCATCTCTGACACGGGAGATAAAAGTCACTGCCAACCTGTGGGAGCCACAGCAACCACCACACCCCCCCCCCCCCCACCCCCCCACCCCCCCCTGCCTTCCCGCACGCCGCTCTCGGACCATTTGCATTTCCCGCGGACGCATCGCATCTCATGAATGCTAATGAGGGTGTATTTTTTCAGCATCCCGGACCGGCCCCCACACGTCGGTCTTCTGCTGCCATGCCGCTGTCTTCCGTGGGTCGATGCCAACAATTAATCCTGGCATTTACAAGAAAAGATTTGTCTATGCTTATCAGTACATAAATATAAGTATATCTATCTACTCCATATGGAGGAACTAACTAGAAGGATAGTTACTCCCCAACAGTTTTATAGTATCTACCCTAAAATTGAACTCAGATGTCCCCCATGAATGAATATTAGGTTCTGACTCAACCTCTCTGCGGCTTTTCAACCTCCCACGCACTGAAGGAACCGATGCGTGCTATAAATAGCCAGGTGAAGATTTTCCTATGGAATATTCTGAGTCACTCCGGGAACGTGAGCGAGGACATGTGGGCGTGCGGGGACGGGGACGGGGAGGGCACATGGGCAACTATGAGATCATCAAAACGTGTCGGGCCTGGAGGTGTCCAAGTGCCCCAGAGAGGCAGGGGGGTACTCACCGCATGTGCGTAGGTGCTGTAGGTGCTGAAGGGCAGGGCGATGGCGGGGTTGAAGATGCCAAACTGGCCCACCATCTGCTGCATGCGACGGATGGTGCGCTCCTTGTCCGTGTCGGCAAACTTGACCACCAGGCTGGACGACGCGCCCTGAGGGAGGAGAGAATCGGAGCCAGTCTGAGGAGAGAGGGCAGGCTGCGTTTAACCTCCCGCTTTGCAAGCGAGACCCATGACCACCACACAAAATACAACTCATAATGTACATAAATACTTGATTCTGAATTAAGGTGCGGTCACATTAGCGATATTTCAGCAAAATTTCGGCGGGGGAAAGCCTTGTCAATAGTGTAGTGATGTACTTTCAAACCAAGCTGCTTTCTGTTGGTCAGCGTGGCGAATTCACATGACCAACTTGAACACGAGCAAAATCTGCATGGGGAACCTAATCACCCTCATGAATGTGTGGATTTTTATTAAAATGATTTTACGTGAAATTTTGCTGAGGAACAGTAAATGTGAACGCACCTTTACAGTAACACGCTATAGAATTCAGTGGAATTTTAGAGCAGGTCAACATGTTAACAAAGAAATCTAATGGACTTGTGGTAAAGTGATAGTTCCCAGAAAATTCTGTAGTTTAAGTCCCGTTCACACCAAGAATGTTAACTATAAAGATGTTATCGTCCACACACCAATGGACAATAAAGTTCTGTTTATTCTAAATGCACACTGCGTCTGCTGCTTTAAATGCTTGAACTCTTTTAAGCAAGATGGATGCTGATTGGCTGTCGATGTTTTTACCATTCATAAGCTGGAAAAAAAAAACATTCTGAAAGCGATTACAATGTTATTGTTCCTCTGTGTTGTAATTGTTTTAGTTGTGATGTGAACTTCCATATTCTCACAGAACTATAATAATTATATTATATTATATTATACTATACTTATCGTTCTTGGTGTGATCTGCCTTTTACTCAACCTCATGTTTTTTCAAGCCTGTATGGAAAACTAAATTTGAATTTTTAAAGAATATCCTGAAAAAGAACCATCAAAAAATAAAATAAAAGTGGTCCATACATCTTGCCCGCAACATATCAAATCTTTTGAAGCCATACAACAGCTTTGTCATAAACAAGTGAAATGGTAATAATTATTATAGTTCTGTACGAATGTACATACTATTATTATTATTTATGTACTATCTTGATATTTGCTGTAACTCTACTAAGCACAGTTGAAAGAGTAAAGATGCTTGAATGAATCATTCTTGTGTGAACGATTCATTCTTTTGAGTTGGGTCTGAAGGATTCGTTCATCAATTGGACTGATCTGAAACTCAAGTTCAATTTGCAATGGTTTTGCAGATATTTTTAAACTAATTATTTTATCACATGATTTGAAATGTAGCAAACAAGTTATATGAACTACTTTTATAGTGCTTTATGGCCTTTTTAAATCTCCAGTTTCCATCTACTTTTATTGTATGCAAAAGAGCATTTCGGACAACAATAATAAAAAAAAAACTTCTTTTGTTTTGCACAGAAGAAAGTATGTCATCCAGGTTTGGGATGGCATGAGAGTTAGTAAATTATGAATTGTTATGAGTTTTGGATGAATTGTCCCCGTTAAGAATGATCAAAAACATTGAGTTCCTTGTGAAAGGGATGACCATGACTTTTTGACTTCAACTCTTCCACCAAACACAAGGTGGTTGGATACATCTTAAATATAACAGTTCAACTCAAAAACGTTTTCAAACAAAGTCTCAACATCAAATCTCAGGCAATCGGACAAATACATCTACAAAGCTGTTAGTGGTATCAGTAGACTGACATGAGCCTTGGCAGCTTGACCGTTACATAACAAAACCTATTTCAGATTTTCGTACTTGATAGGTTATGATATTGCTCCTGAAATATCAAATGGATTAGCCGAAGAACGTGGGTGTGTTTTGAGATTGACAAGGCCACCGATGATCATGTTCTGACCTTGGATGTGTGGGTTTCTGAGTCCGTCTCACTCATTCTCTCCCGTACCGTGGTAATGAAACACCTGCTGCGAGAGCCGCGCTCACATTCATTATGAATCTCTCAATGATTCGATGCTACACTTGACCTTTATCAGCCTACAACATCCTCTGTTCCAGCACTATATAGTCAGAATAAAAAAAATAAAAAAATACAGAATTGATTTTGGCAAAAAGGCCGAAATATGACTGTGATCTGACGGTAGAGAAAGGTTGTGCATCAGACAAGATAAGAGGCTAGCTGAAATTGATGTGAAAATGTCGATAAGCAGCCACAATATAGGGGGAATATCAGGTGAGGCCACTAGCCATGTCTGTACAGCTGAATAGGAGGCTGTGCTTTAAGACCTTAACTGGTGGATCATGGCCCAACATGGGGTCGGAATTCAATATCTGGGCAGGGAAAACACAATGTTAAATATTGAAAAAAAGCATTTAATTACATAATTGTGCATAATTTTGGGCAACATTTATTATCCACTAAGATTTAAAAGGCATTTAGAAACTGAACATAAACCAATAATTTTATTTAGTAAAAAAAATATATATATATATTTTTTAAATGACTGATTCATTATCTTGCATTATTGTGTGCAGTATAAAGTCGCAATCTGGTAATTTTGTTTACTGATAAAATTGCACCATTTTGAAATACCTTTTAATCTAAAGGTACGGTATGTGAGATTGACAGCTAACGGTTGAAATGGGCGCTGCAAAATTCAAAATATTAGAGAGAGTTGTTTCCCCCACAACCTCCTACTCAGATTCGACGCTCACTTGGGTTGCCAGATTGAGGACACGCAACAGGAACGAGCGCAATTGACAATGAAATGCGAGGAGACTCACGTAAGTTGATGAGTTGATTTATTGATTTATGATGAGTTGACATCGCGTTTTAAAATGCTCCCGTTCATAGAGATTTTTAGATGGGTGCGGAGGCTTTTTAGGTCGGGTAGAATCTGTGATGTCTGACCCAGTTTGTTCGCTGGCTTCCATGGCTGCAATATACTGTGTTTTCCGCCAACTGGCAACCTGTGGTGGCGAAATACTATTGGGTAAATTGGCAATGTGCGGTATCGCACAGACCAAAACAAAAACAGACATTCCGACACGGAACGCACATTTCAAAGTAAAATAACTGGCTGTAGCATTGTTTTTCAGAGAAACGAATATGTGAACTATATATTTCCTAAATATCTGCAAACATATTATGGTATTTTTATGCTTTAGTACAGTCAAAAACTTACATACAGCACCTTTAAATCGAATGCTGCAATGTTCTGGTTTACCACAGAACTGGCTGATCCAGATTAAAACTCTTTATCAAACAAATGCCTATGGTGAATGAGGAAAAAAAACTGGAAAACCAGAACAAAGACTGCTGAAAGAGTAGGTGGTCAGTGTTGTGCTCTGTATTGTTTTCGGAACACTTAGTGAGGGCCGAGAACAAAGCAATCAGCCTGCACATCCAAGCTCAACAACTCTGGCTCTAGGCATACGGCACACATGTGGGCGTTTGAAGGGGTTGCCAGAAACGCAGCGAAAGCCAGTCGCTGGGGAGGATAAATGCAGATTTGATTTTCGATTTCACTCTGTTTGAACCCTCATGCCCTTAGCCTTCCCCAAACTGTTTTATTGTATTGTTTCCTCAACTGCTTAGTTAGGATATCATTACCAGGGACAATATCAATGCATTCAGTCACTGTTCATTTGGCGTTCTGCACGACTAAACAAAATGGAACTTTGCAGGTCAGGAATTGTACCACAAGATGCCCAAATGCAAGACAATCTCCACAAAAAAATAAAAACTCCTTATCTTCTATCCCTTCAGGGTTTTTTTATCACCAAAGCAGTTCAAATTATTTCTGGGTATAACCTCAAGGGAAACTGAGACATCTGTGAGTTGATATAAAAACATTTGGCGTTTAGAGAAGACTGGCGAGATACGTAAAAAGTTTGACGGTGGACAATGTTGGGACCTGCAGCATCCTTTTCCCCCTGATTAAAGGGATAATACAGACAAAAATTACAATTCTGTCATCATTTACTCAATGTCATGTCGTTCCAAACCTGTATGACTTTCTTTCCTCTGTGGAACACAAAAGAAGATATTTTGCAGAATGCCGAAGCTGCTCTTTTCCATACAATAAAAAGTGAATGGAATTTTCGGTGAACAACATAAATGTCACTCAGTTTTAAACATTGTTTTACTTCAGAAGACTTGGAATATAGAGTGCAAGTTTTTTTTTATGCTTTTTTGGTGTTTATTTGTACTTTTTAGAGCTCGACAGCCTTGTTCATCATCCACCTTCATTGTATTAAAAAAAACAACTTGTTTTCTCTGGAACAAAGAAAGAGTAAATGGTATAAAAGAGTAAATATCAATTTTTGAGTGAACTATGCCTTTAACGTTTTGAAGTACTGGTATTAAGTTGTATGTAAACTGTAGGCCTAAGCTGTCATTTTAATATTAACCTTGAATGCGATTATCTGCAGCGCTCAGAGTATTTATTGAAAACCTAGATGTTCTGTACATCACCTTAAGCTATTAAGGAGAACAAAATATTTACTTCTTAGTTCTTGGGCAATGCAAATATAAGACAAATTTCAATATTCTTTTAGTTTGAAGTGGCTATGTTTGGAGCTATGAATTTTCAAAATCTTTGGTATTTGTCCAATCCTTTCTTGACTGTTTGTTTGCTTTAGCTCTGAGGCATCCAGTGAATATCAGGGCCGAGGGCTTGTTGGTCCAGCAAGATATAGGCTTGTGGGAGAACGTGATAGAGAGAGAGGGAGGAAAGGGGGAGAGAGAGAGTGCTGGTTGATCTGTGAAGTAAAACTCTCATTAAATTTTAAGCCGCCAAGCACCCGGAGGAATTCCCATAGGTCCAGGACCCAGCGAAATGGATTCTGGAGAGAGAGTAAAACTGTGGGAATAAAAAGTGCAGCTGTTCAACAGAGGAAGAAGGAGGGAAACGAGGCCCTGGTATCAAAGAGAGAGGACTGCATCTTTACGAGAATGAGCAGCGCATGGGGCCACCGTGGTGCTTTCCCGATTCTTGAGGTCTCTTTGTGAACGTGGACCATAAAAGGACTAACTAAGCCATATATCTGATATAACTCTAACTCTACACATCTGTCTATGTGCATTAACTGTGAATGAGATAATAAGAAAGGATTATCTTGCGCATCGAACATCCAGCACTGGAGCAGCCGAGCAGAACTTCTTGTAGCAATCGCTTAACGAAATTGTTTGTTGTATATTTTCACAATTAAAAAAAAAATGCAGATATTAAAATGTGTTGACCATTGAAAACGCCATTGAAATTGGTGGTCATACATATATATCCTTGTAATATTCATGCTAATGAGCAACTAGATAACAGTGAGAATTGTACCCTAATCTAAAGTGTTACTAGTTTTTACATCAAAATGCATGTAAACCTCCAGCATCACATTCGAGCTCAGGCTGTGCGTAACCAGACATTGCTGTCTGCAATTTTGGGCCAGTATTTGTCCCGTAGTTGTTGCACAGATATCCACACAGTCATGAGGAAATGAAAATCCAGCTGAACACATTGCCATTCAACCATAGACAGTGGCAATTGGTCGGCGGCCCAAACTCTCCTAAACCAAGGAGATTGTAATATCAGATAGCAGCGGCAGTTTCATTTTCCTGTATTTGTTGAAATACCGTCAATCCCTGGCGTACACACTCGGCTGGAAATGAGACCGAAGCAGGGGGCTAGAGTTCCTTGACCCTTCCAACCTTCTCCGGGCGTAATTTCGTCCCTGGTCTTCCGTTGTACAAGGCCTTCCTGAAGTCTGGCAATTTGCTTTACCACACGGCAGTGTACATTTTTAATTGCCCCACGTCCGAAGCACGAAATGGGAAGGGCACTGGGGGGCAGCCGTGCACGGAATAAAGCAAAAGTCAAAACCTTGCCTCAAACCTGCTCGCTCTAACATTATGTGCTCTTCGTATTTGTGCATATGCATATGCACACCAAGTCCGGAAACATACAAGCTTCTAGAGCTGAAAAATTAGTTTAGAGTATGTAGCTCTGACCTCATGGCTATGCTAGCAAGCGAAACAGACAGAAAAGAGGGGGAAACATAGAAAGTGGACTGCATGTGCATGCATACTTGTGTGTGTGTGTGCATGAAGATAATGCACTGACTGTGATGAGCCGGGGGGATTTGAGATGAATATAAGATTGGATCGACTACAAGCATCAAGCATTTCTGCAATAAGGCCAGTTTCTTGCAGCCCACAAGCACATCATTAGCAGACTGCGTTATGCATGCGTATTTAAAATGAATTAGCACTCTTTTCTTCACTGGACTTCTTACTGTAATAACTACAAGCTGCGTTTGATTCTTGGAGAGTGAACTGAGGGTTGTGAGAGGCTGGCTGGTGTATAAAGCAACAAATGCTAATTTTTGCATGCTAAAGCAAGATTTTGTGTTTATCATAGCAACAACGAGCATTAAGACATTTTTATTTGGTTTCTAATTCTGTCATGAATTCTGCGTAGCCCCGCCTATAATTAAAACTGGTTGGTCCAAAATTGTTTTTGACACTGCTGTACGTTAAATCTGAAATATATTCTGATTGGTTGTCATTTGTTCGTCATTGTACTTTTAGTCTAGACAAACTCATTGCTTTCTTTTGCGTCACACCTATTTCTGCGGCGGCTTCTATTCCAATCACCTCCACAGTGAAATCCCATTGATTTAAAGTCTTGTTTTTCATAAACATTAAATATGTCCTGATTGGTCGTCATTTTGATCGTCATTGTACTTTTAAATGTCAAGTCAGACCTATTTCTGCTGCGGTTTCTATTACAATTGCTTCACGCAGTGTAGCTCCACCCACAGTGAGTATTCATTGGTTTAAAGTCCTGTTTGTCAAATTAAATTAAACATCAAATATGTTCTGATTGGTCATTTCGTCCATTATATTTTTAGTCAGGGCAAACAAATTACTTGAAGCAGTAAAGTTGTCGCGTCAGTTATTTCTGCCGCAGTTTTTAGAAGTACCACTTCACGTAATGTAGCTCCGCTAGTCAAAACGTTCTGATTGGTTCTCATTTTCTCTTTAAATCTGAATAAACCAATTACCTGAGGCTGTTAATTTGTCACGTCACACTTATGTCTGCCGTGGTTTTTATTCGAATCGCCTCACATGAACAATCTGATCTTGTTGTTCATAAATTAAACACAAAAATGCTCTAATTGGTTGTAATTACAGTTTCATGTTCAGTATTGTACTTTAGCCTGAACAAACGTATTACTTGACGGTGTAAACTTGACGCATCACACCTTTTTCTTTTGTGCTTTCAATTCCAATCACGCAATGTAGAAGCCCTGTTTGACATAAATTAAAGTAAACATCAATAATAAATTCTGACATAAAACATAATACATTCTGACTAGTTGCCATTTTGTCACGTCACAGAGCATTTTGCTTTGATGTATTAGTTATCAAAATGATTGGATATTTTTCAAAATCATGTGTTACTTTAGTAACTGCGAGCAGCATGAGATTCTCTGATGGGGGACCGAGGGCGTGAGAGGCTGGTGGGTGTTCGGTAAGTTCGCCATTGCTTCTTTTGAAGAGTTTGCAGATGGATGAGTGCTTCATCAAGCCCTGCCTTGAGAAGAACTCCATTATCTCGGCTAAACATCTCACTTTGGCACCTGGGAGCTGTGCGAGTCGTGACCCCTCCCTCTATAACTTCAGACTCAAGAGAATGGAGGCCGGTAAGGTTTTCCATAATCAATTTACCTTCCGAGATGACTATAAACCTTTTCCATCCCTCCCCTGTGAGCTTCCACCACTCTTCCTCTGTCTCTCTACCTCTCTCTTTTTACTTTTCTATCTGGCGTTCCTTCCCGCTCTCTCTCTCCTTTTCGCTCTTCCACTCCCACCTTAGTACATGCCAATGAATAATTCACCAGTCAATGTGGTGAAAGGTGAGGTAAACAAGTCTATTGCCTAATGTCCCGGGAGGATGGAGGGAAGGAGAGAGGAAAGGATGTCTGAGTGTGTGTGTGTGTGTGAGATGAAGATTTTAGAACTGTGGTTTATATTTCAGTGTCCCTGAATCATTTGCACCTCAGTTGACCCTAAAGGTTATACAGAGAGCGGATCACACCACAGATCCATCTATCTCACCGTTTCTCTGGCCATTTCATTCTCTTAAAGGGACGGTTCAACAAAAAATAATCACTTACATTTTACCTGGAAATAAAATGACCAGGACACTCTTCAAAACATCAAGTCATACAAGTTTGAAATAACATGAGGGTGAATGGAAAATAAAGACAGAATTTTCATTTCTGGGTCAACCGTTTCTTTAAAAAATGTCGCTGCGTTGTGGAAAATGAAAAAAAAAAAGCACTCACTAAAATGCATTTAGAAATTCCATAACTCGTTTGTATCCAACTGGAGTCTTTTAGCAAATAAAACAGCAGCGTGTGAGCTACTTCTGAGAGCCGAACAATGTGTGTGTGACTGAATAGCTGTGTGATTCAGACAGGCTGTGCTGAATAGCCCGCTTTTTATGGCTCAGCGTCCAGTCCTCGAGATTGAAACGGCCGGACAAAGGCCACTTGCTGATATGCTGGCAATGCAGCTATTCAACAAAACAATATGGCCAAATATGCAGTTTGGAAGTGGAAATGACTGATCTGTTCTTACTTGTCTGCTTGGAATTGATTTAATTGCCTGGTTCACCTTTTATGTTTATGTTTATATACATATATATATAAGGGGAAATTATCAAATTTCTAATTATATAGGTCAAATTATTCTATTTTAAATATATAACTGAATAATTTGACATCTATAATTTGATAATTTTGAAATGTGAGATAATTGAGATTTTTATGACGAGGCAAGATTAGTTTCGTTTGTAAAATGTAATGTGGTGTGACACATAAAAACAATTCTACATTTCTGAATTAATAAAAAAAGAAAAATCAAGAATTTTGTGGTCACACCACATGACTGATTGGCGGACAAAGTAAAAAAAAAAAAAAAAAAAAAAATATATATATATATATATATATACATATATATATAAAATTTGACCCTTTTATGATCAGGCAAGATTATTTTAATTTGTAAATATGTCATATGGTTTTGACTCCCCAAATCCTTAATAATAATAAATTCAAGATATTTGTATATATATAAAAAAACACGTTACTTTGGAAAATATATTCCAAAACAAAATAATGATTAAGGTGTGTACACATGTGTTCAAGGTGTAAGTAAAATATGTTTTTACTGTTCACTTGACGGTTACACCACATAACATTTTCAATAAAGTGAAACTTTAAATTTGAACATGTTTTTCAAACCCATATAAAACCACAAGATTTTTTCAATATAGCCCTTATAATGATACAGTGACCCCAAAATATATTTGGACAGGTGTATGAAAGTCATCGCAACCACTGATTGTCGAAGGAACATCAAAGAAAGAAAGCATCAGTGAAAATGAGAGTTTTTCTGTGAACATGTGTGTGTGTGTGTTATAGAGGAGTGTGTACTCACCGGCATGGTTTGACTGCCGTGCAGGGCGCTGATTGCAGATTGAGCTTCAGCGTGTGTGGAGAACTTTACAAAGGCGCAGCCTGAAAAAAAAAGACACACACAAAGGTACACAAACACTTTAGCCACAGCGTAGAGAAGCGCATTAAAACACTGGAGAGAGGCAGAAAGCCCTCCAAGGGTAAGCAAGCTTCTCTCTAGAGACTGTGCTGATGCAACAAGCGTGCTATTCACTGCCACATGCCCATCAATGCAAACAAATCTCAAAATACGGGATAATTGATATCGTTTTAAAACGCCGCCGCAGATATTCATCACGAGAATTCAAACCCATTTGGGATTCGAGAGCAGTCGTATTGAAAACCGTTGAAAAACCTGTCAAAATATTAAGGATAGGTCTTAATGTGCCTTATACAAGCGTAACGCGTTTTATGCAGTTTTTATTTAAGAATTAAGCATTTTTGGCAGAAACAGGCTTTGAAATGAAACACATTAGTAGCTAAATGAAATGTAGTTTTCTTGTCTTATTGTACAGGGAATGGTTTGACATCTATCCTTTTCTTCTCTTCCATAAGACTGGATATTCACGGATCCACCCCCTAAGTAGCAGAAATAATCCTACAGCAATTTTCGTAACACTGGCAAGAGGAAAACTCAGACTCCCACAGTGCTTTTCCAAATGCCAGGCTGTATTAGCGTCTTACAGTGTCCCTAAAGCCTCGGTGGGCAAACAAAGGAGTCTATAAAAAGTTTAATGTTCAAATATGTGCTTTTTCTCCATCTCTTAAGAGTCTTCAATGTTGAATGAGCGACAACTCAGAACAAATTGTTGGTTCTTGGACAGCATAAAATGTCTACATTAAATTGTAATATTATATTTAACAGAATATGAGAGTTTTGATAGATTATGAAAGTGGGTGTTACCAGTATACAGCATACATACAGGTCAAAAGTCAAAACTTTGAGATGATTAAGATTTTTTTGAATGGTTTTGAAAGAAGTCTCTTACTCTCACCATTTACTTGATCAAAACTGTAATGTTTTTAAATATTATTACAATTTAAAATAACTGTTTTGTATTTGTTCAATTATCAGAAAATGTCACTTTGATCATTTTAATGTGTCCTTACTGAATAAAAGGTTGTTGTTTTTATCTTACCCCGAACTGTACAACAGTTTCCACAAAAATATTAAGCAGCACAACTGTTTTCAACATTGATAATAATAAGAAATGTTTCTTGAGCAGCATATTAGAATGATTTCTGAATGATCATGTTGATGCTGAACATTCAGCTTTGATCACAAGAATAAATAACATTTTAAAATATATGAAATAGAAATCAGTTATTTTAAATTCTAATATTTCACAATATTAGTTTTTACTGTAATATTAATAAATGCAGCTTTGGTGAGAATAAGTAACTACTTTCAAAAACATAAAAACATATAGTGTATATATAATATACATTTAATATACATAATATATATATATGCCGCTAATCATTCACAATAAGACCAGAAATGTGTACAAGAAAGCTACAATTTCATGTTGTTGACTGATAATATAACATCATGCCATAAAAAAATGACGTAATCCCACCTTTGCTGTTTCCATCCGGACCTCTTAGCACAGTGCACTCCTCAATGACTCCGTAGGGTTCGAAAAGACGGTACACGTCCTCCTCCGTCTGTTGTTTGTTCAGCATCCCGACGAACAGCTTCCTGTCTTCTGAAGCAAAGAAAAACAGAGCGAATGGAACGACTGGCGTAACCTCTCACCTACCCATTACCCACATACATTACTATTGTAAGCACAACCCAAATACTACTCAGACTTTTGGTCCTTGGCCAGCATGGGCAAACAGGGACTGCTTTTGCTTGGCCCATTTAGCTTGTGGAATGGAGTCGCAGCAGTAATTGTTCCCCGTGCCAAGTCTGTTCATTTTAATTTGGGGGATAATTGGGTTCAACCCCATGTTGGAAATGGTGGGTAGGCCTGAGGTGATAGCGCTAAGCTGTCGTGCTTAGAGGCTCGCTTTAATAGGAAGAAGCAGACTGCGAAGAGACAGCGCTTTCTACGAAACTCTGGAGGGTATAGATAGACAGAGAGCGCCGCTACCGCTGACCTGGAATTCAAACTAATACGAGTTGTTTTTGTCCCGTTCTATGTTTAGTCTATGGTAACTGGTTGTATTCACGGATAATACTTTCTTTGATCGAGCTGAAATCTTGAATGTTATACAAAAATAATTATAAAGGGCACTATGCCAGGTGATACTGTCAAATCATTTCAAAACTTGACAACTTTTGCAAGAGAATCTCAGTGGAATATCCTATTGAATATTATAAGGGTTGAAAGCATAAATTCAAACTCATTATTTAAGCATTAAAAAGCAAAATTCTTGTAATAATAAAAAAAAAACGGTTACTAATTTGGTCAGTCAAAGTCAAAGTTTAAGCAAGCAGAACTGGGAGATTTTTATTTTGCAGTCATTTATTTTAATTGCTCTTAACTTGAAATATTCAGCCCACTTTCAGTTAAATTTAAGTCTAAATTAAAAGAAAAAAGTTCATAAAACTTAAAACAATGAAACCATTCGGATTTACTTAAAATGTGTCAGTTTGGTGAACTCAAAAGAAAAAGAAGGTTCTAAATACTCATAAAAGTTAATTCAACTGAACTAATTTGTTGAATTTAAGTTAACCCAACTCAAACCAATTAATTTTGAGAATTAGGAGATACAAATTTTGAGCATACAGATACAAAACAAATATTCAAAGTTTCACTCATATCCACTTTTGCCATGTACTGACATAATGAGGTAACCTGTAGAAAAGTATTCACTGAAACTGAATTATGAAAAATGAAACACTGAATTATTTAACTATTTAACACAATAGTTTTCAGTTTCTGCACATTTTCATTTTCCTCAAAAAAAAAACACAAGGTTGGGTAAAAAATTGTGGTAAGTGTGTGTGTCTTGCAGCCTCAACAGAAGTGTGATCCAACTAAACCTACAACTTTATCATTGCATTGATCTTTTTGAATATGTGTCAATGGGATGGATGTGTCTATTGAGTCTACCTCAGTCTTAGTCGTATTGATATTCCTTCATTCGCTCTGGAACCTGGTTGTCTCGCCGCGGCAATGACGTGCTCTAAAATAATCACGAGTGTCAGCACGTTGTCTGGGCCTCGTGCGCGCTCTTTATCGTTTGTGGCAGGATCAGAGGGTATGTATCAAAATAGAGGCGATGCATTGTGACATCTGTCACGTTACATCGGAGAGCATTTATCTGCAAAAAAAGAAGGCCCTGAACTGGAAAATAAAAGGGCGGGGATGGGCCCTGGGGGGATCTTCCGATCTGAAGGTGGACTGGTTAAGTTCCTGGACGGATTCGCATAGATGTGGCCTTGAGGTCTAGTCGTGCTTCTTGTGACGTCTCAGCTCAAGGAAACGGGTGATGGGACTCTGACCGGGCTGGATTAATGTACGAAGCTGACCTGTATGAATTTAATACCGCGTGTGCTTCACCTCAATATTTATGCCACAAGCGCTGCTGTAAAAATACACCCTTGCGGCTGTCCCATGGCTGACAGCTGAATGGAATAATACTTATGGCTGGAAAGAGTGTAACAGTAACACACACTATAAATCAGTATATAGCGTGACGACAACTTAAAAGAACGGTTCATACAAAATTTTAATTCTCACATCCTTCCTAATCCCTATGACTTTTGTTCTTTTGTGGAAAACAAAAGACATTTTGTAGAATGTGGTGATTGCTCTTTTTGACAAATTATATAATAAATGAAGAGTCTAAGTTTCAGTCTCTCAAAAATGACGATGAAAGTAGCCAATTTTAAGTTGCTATTCAGTGAAAATCATCTTCTGTGTCTAATCTTATCATTGAATCACAAAACCTGTCTGAAATTATGTCTGATTTGTGGACAAATCATTCTTTTGAGACAAAAGTCTGAATGATTTTTGGGTTTGTGAAATACATTTTTCTCAAATGATTTGTCAGATTTGAGAGCAAATCATTATGAGTCAAACCTTTTAATTGAATCACAAAACTAATCTGAATAATTAGTTCAAATCAGATCAAATCAGTTCAACTCTCTGACTTCAGTCTGTTTTCTACACAAATCCATCATATAACTATATATGAAGTTTCAGTCCCCATTCATTGCAATTGCATGGAAAACCGCAACCAGCAGTGTTCCCAATTTCTCTAAAGAAAATAAAGATGAGGGTGAGCAAATGATGACAGAATTTAGATTTCTGGGCGAAACACTCCTTTATTGCGTTTCCCTTTAAATCGTTGGATACTTTATTTATCACTTTAGCTATACTCTTGTTTTTCCATGATTCAATAAGCCGCAAAAGTTTTGAGAACCTCCAAGCCATTTATAAAATAAATCAGCCAGAGAATGTTTTCATCACTCTTTTTGACAGGGATGAGGGATAAAGCATCACCACAGGGCCGCCGTAAGAAAATAAAAACAGACACTGCGACTGACATTACACAGAAAAGAAAATCACACAATCACACACCAATCCATTTTAGGAAACGCTGGAATACAATACAGACTGCATTACAAATAAAGGAACGTATGGAATAGCATCGCAATCTTGCGTTATTCAACTTTTTTCTGTTTAGTCAGATGACAAAAGGTTATGAGAGTCGACTGCAGTCAATAATGCAGTCGCAGTCCATGAATAAGCAAGCAAAGTGAGTTTATCGACAGCATGACCACAACAGATTCATTAAAAGGCACTGGAGTGTAACACATGCTGTACAGTATCATATTAATTTCAACTATAAGTGCACTTTGATAGAGCGTTCAATCACTACAGTGACATTAAGGTGTTGCAGCGTTCTCATCGCACGTTTAATTGATTAGCACTCGTGATATTTGCATATTTTACTCCCCCGTGTCCTTCATACTGGGTCCGGCCCCACCAGCTGTGATACCGCCTCAAAAAATGACTCCTATCAAGCTTCATCAACTTCAGCGGCTGGGAAGAGTTTTGTTCAATACATCACACATTAAGGGGTGAACAAGATTGCTAGCTTCATGTCTAAGGGAATTTACATGTACGTCCTTGTGATATGACTGAGAGCAAATTCTTATTTGTTTAATATCATGAGTGATATTTGTTATCTTTATTATAAGAGGTATGCCGCTAGACTATAGAATCAAAGCTATTAGGCACTGACTATAGCTGGGCAGGGTTCCAGACTGCGACCAAATTGGTCGCATATGCGACCATTTTTTGAGAATGTGCGAGTTAAAATTGTATGTGGTCGCATTTGTGCGAGTGGACGCTCGAGCAACAGAACGCCGTTGTATCAGCTGCTGCAGTCCGTAACTTATGTTCAAAATGAACGAGTAGGCTACATCATGAATCCATTTTCCAAACCGTGTTTTTGACTTATTCTGAATCACTACGGTACGCCTATAATAAGTGTTTATATTCTGACTATTTTATCCCGGGGTCGTCTCGGCTGCGGAGTAGCCCAGTGCCTGCGTGACTCGCCATAGACATTAACGGAGAGAAGTTCCGTCTACAATGTTCTTCCGCAAGACACGTGCAGTTTATTTATTGACGAACGTAGACGTCACGCGCATTGCACACTGATGGTGAAACACGCCAATTACGAATTCACGAATTAAGGCATATAAAAATTAAAAGGTCTCACGAAAAACCGAGCCCCTTCTTCCTACGTCTTTTCAGCGGTTATATTTTCCTCTGTCGAGCGATTACTCTCATGATCGCTCGACAGAGGAAAAGGAAATTATTATAAAATGCAGAAGGTAAGGAGTGTGAGATTTCTGCTTTTTGTTACAACTATAAACTTTGATAACGAAAAATCTGTATCAGTTTATTATAATACTCTAATCTTTTAAAATGTAATGCATACATTTGAATGTTTAATGATTTTTAAAAGATAGAAAGATGATAATAGACAGACAGACAGACAGATAGATAGATAGATAGTTAGTTAGTTAGTTAGTTAGATAGATAGATAGATAGATAGATAGATAGATAGATAGATAGATAGATAGATAGATAGATAGATAGATAGATAGATAGATAGATAGATAGATAGATAGATAGATAGATAGATAGATAGATAGATAGATAGATAGATAGATAGATAGATAGATAGAATATAATTCAAATGTAAATAGATAGATTGTAATTCAAATGTAAAATGCTTAAAATTACAGATTAAAATTACTGTCCAAAATCCATGAAAATCCTGAAATTTGGCAATGATAATTAATATATTACAGGTATTTCTGCTGCAACCCAGAAAGCCTTTGCTAGCCTTGGTCCATTAAAACCACTATTCATCAGCATGCATTGATTAATCCCATGGCATGAAGCAAAAAAAAAAAAAAAAGTGCGACCAAAACATATGCTGGTGCGACCAACTGAGAAAGTTGGTAGCACCAGTGCAACCAGTGGAAAAGTTAGTCTGGAGCCCTGCTGGGAGTTTACTAGTAAATATCTTAAAGAGGACAGAATAGCCCATGGGATTTCACACATTTGATGCCACGGACCCACAAATATGTAATCCTATGGCTACGTTCGAGTTTCTGAGATTGACAACCACATTTTCTTACAGGTGTGAGTCTCGAAATGTACTGTGTTACCTGACAGACAACTAGTTGTCCAGTCTGGTTCCGTTCAAACAGCAAGGGTTTTTCCAAAAA